TCTTTTTTTATAATCTTTGTCTTAAAGCTTATTTTATCTGATATAAGTATAGCTACTCTAGCTTTCTTTTGGTTTCTACTCAGTCTGTGTCCTTATATTTTAAATGAGTCTCTTGTTGGCAGCATACAGATGGATTTTTTAAATCCATCCATCCACTCTGTCTTTTGATTGGAGAATTTAGTCCATTTACATTTAAAGTAAGCATTGATACATATGTGCTTTTTTATGTATTGCTGATTGTTTCCTGACTGTTTTGTAGTTCCTCTGTTCCTTTCTTTTTCTCTTTCTTCCTTTGTGATTTGATGTTTTTCTGTAGTGGTAAATTTCAGTTTTTTCTCTTTGTGCGTGTATGGGTGAGGGTGTGTGTGTATCTACTGTAGGTTTTTGCTTTGTGGTTACCATGAGGCTTACATAAAACAATTTATAACAGTCTGTTTTAACTTGATAACAACTTAAGTTTGAACACATTCTAAAGCTCTATAATTTTATTCCCTCACCCCCATGAAACCGTCTTTGTTATAGATGTCACAATTTACATATTTTATCTTGTGTATCTGGTAACAAATTACTATAGTTATCATTATTTGAATACTTTTGTCTTTCAACCTTCATACTAGCTTTATAAGTGATTAACCCTCCACCTTTCTAACATGAGATTATTCTGAATTTTACTATACATTTACCTTTACTGGTGAGATTTACATTTTCATGTGTGTTCCTATTAATAATTAGTACCTTTCATTTCAGCTTAAAGAAGTTCCTTTAACATTTTTTGTAAGACCAGTGTAGTGGTGCTGAACTCCTTTTGCTTTTGCTGCTCTAGAATACTATTTCTCTCTCCAATTCTGAAGGACATATTGCTGGCTAGAGTATGCTTGGTTGGCAGTGTTTTTCTTTTAGCCCTTTGAATATATCATGCCACTCTCTTCTGGCCTCCAAATTTCTTCTGAAAATCTGCTGATAGTCTTATTGGGGGTTCCTTTGTACCTAACAAGTTGGTTTTTCCCTTCTTTTAAAAATCTCTCCTTGCCTTTAACTTTTGACAGTTTAATTATAATGTGTCTTGGTGAGGTTAACTGTGGTTTCACCTTAATGGGAACTTTATGGGTTTCCTGGATCTGTATGTTTGTTTCCTTTCCCCAGGTTGGAGAAGATTTCAGCCATTATTTTTCTAAACAAGGTTTCTGCCCCTTTCTCTCTTTCTTCTCTTTCTGGGACCCGTATAATGTGAATGTTGGTCCTCTTGATGATGTCCTATAAGTTTCTTAAGCTATCCTGACTCTTTTTTCATTCCCTTTTCTTTTTGCTGCTCTGATTGGATAATTTCCTCTGTCCTTTCTTCAAGTTTACTGATCCTTTCTTCTGGTTCATCTAGTCTGCTTTTGAAGACCTTTGTTGTACTTTTCACTTCAGTTATTGCATTCTTTGATTCAAAGTTTTCTATTTGGTACTTTGTATTTTGTATCTTTGTGAAATTCTAACTTTATTCATTTATTCTTCCAATTGGCAGTCATTTTTATAACCATTATTTTGAACTCTTTATTAGGTAAATCACTAATCTCTATTATGTCTTTTTTCTAAAGTATATTACCTTATTCTTTCATTTGGAACATATTCCTCTGTTTCTTCATTTTTCTTGACTCTCTGAGTTGGTTTCTATGCATTAGATAAAATAACCACTTCTTCCAGTCTTGAAGGAGTGTTCTCATATAGGAGATGTACCTTATCTTTCAACCCTGCCCTAGCTCTTGGTTGTCTTCAAATCTTGTTCAAGTAGCCCACTTTATTCTAATGGCTCCCAGTAATTGTGGATGTGATAAGACTGGTCAGTGTCTCAAAGGGGAGGATCTCAGTCAACACTGACAGTTAGGCTATAGCACAAGACCCTCAGGTAATAGCTTTCAACCTCTTTCAGGAGAAGATTAGATGATGGTTATTTCTGTCTGCTCCCTCTGCACTGATCCCTGGGTATTAGCCACTTAAGAACTGTTTCTTTCTTTGCTACGATCCTGTTGAACTCAGGAACACAAGCCCTGCTGGCCATCAGAGCCAGGCTATCAAGGGATGTGCCCTCTCGGCAACAACCCCAAAAGCCTTGGTGCCAAATGTATCCATAGCTCCTTTCTTTAAAGATACCAATTACCTGGGGTAGGGTTAAGAGGGAGCACATAGATGGTGATGCCAGCCTCCCCAGTCTCTGGAGAGGATTGTTGTTGGCCCCTAGATGTGTGTTTAATTACAAGCCTACCTCTTATGCCATAGCTATGAAGATAAGCTACTGGGCCTTTTTTCTCAGAAAGGCTATGGGTATGTTTCAGTCTGCCATCTCTGTGCTGTGCCATGGGGGTGGGAGCCTACCTAGTAAGAACTCTTTCTCCTTGGTCCTATGAGGTCCACAAATGTAAGCCCCCCGGCCACTAGAGCAAGGCAATACAGGGATGTCCCCTGCTTTGCCCTGTACTTTGGTTGCATTTTGTACCTGAGTTATTGAACCATTGTCTGGAACAATGACCATGTGTATAGCAGTTGTTTGTTGGAATGTTTATTTCCCCTACCTGGTTGTAGGCTCCTTAAGTATTCTCTCTTTGTATTCCAGGCTCCTAGTATAACCCATCTGGCTCACAGAAGGCACTAAATAAATGTGTGTTAAGTCCTGGATTGACTAAATGAACCTTCACCATCATGAAGTGGAGGGTGGGGATTCTGTCCTTTTATCTATGTTAAATGTCTCTGGCTCCTTCATCTAATTTCCCTCTTTGAGTTCATTGGAGCCCTACTTGCCCTGGTACATGCCCCTTGGTAAGTTATAAAACAATTTGAGTGGCACTGAGCTGTGCCACCTCAAAATAACCCTTATACTTAAGCTCCTATCCATGGCTTGGGTGTTGTAGTTCTCTCTATTCTGAGACTTATTTTCTTTGTGTTCTAGTATATTGCTTGGGGAGTAATTTTTTTTTTTTTCTCCTAACTGCTCTGATAATTGAGGTGAATGGGTAGATGAGTAAATGAAGGAAGGAAGGCTAGATAGGTGTCAGCTCAAAAACCTCATTGTCTTCTCATGTTCTTTATCAGCATGTACCTTCACAAACTTGATTTCACAGTGGAAAGGCAATTTATAGTCTCTCCAGGGGAACTTCGTTGATTCAGATCTCTTGTTTATGAAAATATTTTAAAAGGTGGTGTTCCTTCATGTTTTGTTTTTTTTAAAACCCTTATTTTTAAGCACCAAATTCTATTTTTCACTTAATATATTCTGCCTTCTTGCACTTGAAATCCCCATTACCGCCTTTTTTGAGTCTTTGTATGTATTAAAAATATGCTAACAATTTTTCTGTTTTCAATTTTTCTTTATACGTTTTGCTTGTTTCAACTTAGTGTGGATTCTATTCTGCTAATTATTTTTGTCAAAGTTAATATTCTGTAACCACATTAACTGCTTGCTAGTTCATGAACAAATTTGTTCACAGGGATTTCATTTATTGCAAATAACGGTGACAAGGTCAGATATGTTGGTCAACACTCACAGAAAATCAACATCAGAGCCAAGAATTAAAATGTTACTGTCAAGTAGGTATTTAAGGAATATCTGCTTCCTTATTTATTTTCCAACTAATCCCTTCCTGAAAGAAGCCCTATGTGAGATGATTTGCACCACACATTTTTTTTAAGGAATGCATAATCAGGAATGCATTTGCTTTTTGTCAAAAATATGCCATGCGTGGGACATCTGGGTGGCTCAGTCGGTTAAGCATCTGCCTTCGGCTCAGATCATGATCCCAGGGTCCTGGGATCGAGTCCTGTATCAGGCTCCCTGCTGAGCAGGCTCCCTGCTTCTCCCTCTGCCTGCTCTGCCTGCCGCTCTCCCTTCTTGTGCTCTCTCTCTCTCTCTCTGACAAATAAATAAATAAAATCTTTTAAAAAATGCCATGCATTTTTAATCCATGTGTACACAAATTATAATTTGGCAATGATAATCTTGAATTGTTTTATTGCTCACCTGTGTTAATTTTTTCTTTTCAGATGATTTCTGCATATCTACTAATCATTCGATGATACTTCCCATTTGTTATTAGTATTAATGTCAACAAATAATTCCATCTTGAGTATTAAAGTTTCCATAAAACATACTGAAATTTATCCCAGTGATCTCAAATAGCTTTTTGTTGAGTTTTCTTCTCATTCAATTTGATTCCATAAATACTTATGGCACATTAAAGAGAGGCAATAATAAACTACAGCTCATCCAAAGATGAGTTCACAGGAATGGTGAGGGCTAATGATTTTCTAGTGACTTAAAGTTCTAGGTCTTTTCAGTATATGAATTCCTGTGAATTTTGGTTAGGCTAGATCTGTCATTTCATAAATACAAAGATTTCTGTAAGTAAATATGAGGTTTTGCATTTCTCTCTCCTGCACGTCAGCTTGTTTGGGAACAGTCTATATTCCGTACTCCTAATTGTAACATCCAATGTATTATTTCTACCAACTGAAAAATGTGATAAACATCCCTTTTGCTTGCCCATATTGTTGAAAAAAATTAAATCATAATAGGAATAATTACATGGGAGGTGCTAAGGGGGACAGCCTTGTGTTTTGTAGCATTATTAATTCTTAACCATGAGGAGAGCTTACCTTGCTTAAATGTCTCCCAGGAGAAACAATAAAATGTAGTTTAATTTTTTGCTGAAACTACTGCCTTAATGAGTGCTATAATAATATGCAGTTGAGAACAATTTTTTATTTAACAGTCTTGTCCATAGATCCAGATTCATTTTTTCCTATTTTTGTAGGAAAGAGCATTTCTTCAAGGATAATGGTAATCAGTTTTTTTTTTAATGAAATGAGTAATATTGATACCCTAGTCTCTCTTGAAAACCTTCCAGTTTTCACTTACAGCATTTTATTTGTTTTACACATTCATGGAGTATATCATCGGTTTATTTTGTTGTTATTTTATGATAAAATGCAAACATGATTTTTTTCAATATTTTTACTTTCAGAATATTTTTCCCAGCACTTGGGCGAATATGAGAATGTGCTAGCAGCACTTGAAGACCTAAATCTTTCCATCCTGAAGGCAATGGGCAAAACAAAAAAAGTAAGGAACTGTTGGTGTTTATTTTCTATAAATCTCTTCTTTGAAAAAAATTTTCTTGAAAATCCTATTTCCTAATGTATCATAAAAGTATACACTGGTTTTTATCACTAATAACTTACTTTCTCAATATTAAATGAGCTATTGTAGTCATTCACAATACAGTTACAGAATACTAGGTGTCAGAATCTGCTTTTTGCCGAGGATACAAAGATACAAAATCTGTTCAGGCAGCTCTTACTGTGGTCGCAAGACAAGTGTGTAAACAAACAATTGCAGTATAGTACAACAGAGGGAAGCACAAGATGGGGCACCTGATTCATGCTGGAGGAGGTGACACCTGAGCAATTACAAATGAAATTATAGCTAGGGAAAGGTGAAACAGACACATGGAACAGCATGTACAAAGGCCCTGTGTTGGAAGGGGCAGGGAGTAGGCACAGGGCATTAAAGTAAATAAAGATGGTCAATAAGGTTAAAGTCTAGAACACTGAAGAATGGTATGATGTGAGATGTAACGTGGTAGAGAGGGGCTGTACCTTTCGTGATTTTGTTGGTGAACCTAAGGATTTAGACCTGTATCCTAGATGCAAACAAATCAGCCACATTTTCAGCAAAGATACGGAAATTCATGCAGCCTTTTGAAAAGACCATATTAGCTTGAGATTAGGGTGGGTGGGGAATATGGGGAATAAGATCAGGAAGATGAGTGAGGAGGCTAGTTCACTAACCCAGGTCAGAGATGTTGGTAGTTTAAAGGTATTGGCAGATGATATGGAAGAAAGGAAATTAACTGTACATATGTTGAGACCCTATCAGTAAAACTTGGAGAAGGCATGAATATGCGGGATGGGAGGACATGTCCAGGATGAATCCTGGTTTTTAGCTTGTATGCCTGGGTAATGGCACTAACTAGACAGAGAATGCTGCAAGAAGACCAGGTTTGAGGAGGTAAGATTTTAAGTTTTCTCTTAGACATGTTGAATCTAAACTGCTTCGGGGACATCTGAGGAAATTCAAGTAAATGATTAGATACATGGATCTGAATCTGAGAGGTGAAGTCTAGATTGGACATATGTTTGTGAATTGTTAATACTTAGGCAGAGAACTTGAATGACATCATCTGGAGAGAGAATATATAGTAGAAAAAGGAGAGGACCTAACACTGAGCTTTAAGGAACTTCAAATTTTGTTGGTGGGTGGAAGAGAATGAGCCAGCATGAGTCTGAGAAGGAGTGGGCAGAAAGAGGAGAGGGAATCTGGGAGATTGTAGTGTCCAGGAGTTGGGGGAGAGTATTCCATGAAACACAGAGTGGTCGATAGCATTGACTGCTATGGAGGGGTCAAGAGAGTTGAGACTTGTCTGTCAATCAAAAAAGACGTAAGCATGTGAGGTACGTAACAAGAAATAAAAATTTTTAAAGCTTATATGGAATTTCTGGATGAGGACAGCAGATGTATGTGTACGTCACTAAACTCTGCTTACTCCTGAAGCCCCCAAAGAAAACTAAAATAAGATGTTTTTAATGGGGAAGTGACAGAAGTTGGGAACTGAAAAGCCAGCGAACAAGTGGTCGCTGGCAGCAGACCAGACACGTTTGACGGCTTGACTTGTAGTGGGAAAGCAGAATGCCCCAGCTTCGTTCTTAGAAAGGCTCAGGAACTTGGCACTATTGCCACTGGAAAAGGATGGGAATGGTCGGGCTAAACCAGGGGGACCTGTTGGAAATCTGTGATTGCCTGCTTTTCTCCACCCAGCTGAGCAGTTGCCTCTTGATCCACCCAGCTAGAAAACCTAGACTTGTTCCCTGAAAGGGTTAAAGGAGGGGTTCTCTGCCCCACAGCTGAGGGATTAAGTAAAAGTTTACAAACTAAATGAAAAGACCTCCAGCTTTCTTCCCCAAATTTAACTCCCAGAATGTTGGCCCCTCAGAGGGTTGGCATCCTGCAGGCAGACAGAAAGAGGTTGTCTCTGAGAGATCTTACCAATGCAATTGGGAGTCTCTCTCCTTGTAGGTGGAGCTCAGCCTGCTCTCCCTCTTCTTCCCTTGAATCCTAAAAGCTTGTCTACAGCCCATCCTTAAAGATGCACAGTCAGCCAAGTGTCATCAAACTTCTTACAGGAAAGGCGGAGACCAAGACAAACCAGAAATGGGGGAGGGAGGAAGGAATGCACAAAGTAACACAGGGGCCTCCGCAGGAAGATGAAAACCCCCAGTCAGTCTCCTCAGCCTCCTCAGAGGGACAAGGGAAGATGCTGTTTCCATGAAAAATACAGTAACAAACAGAACATTCAAGAGCTCTTTGAAATTAAAACAAGAGAGCAGAAATAAAGACTTAACAGACATCTGGAAAATAAAGTTTAGAAAGTCTCCAAAAAAGTAAAGCAACAAAAAAAGCATAAGCAAATTGGAGCATCAGCCTAAGCTGTCCTATATCCAAATAACAAATTCCAGAAAGAGAGAACAGAAGAATAGAGTCTGAAATACATTTTCTCTTGATCTGTTAAGGTGTATTTGGAAAGTGCATAAGATTTTACTCCTTGGGACCTTCCCTCCAGAAATGGTAATTCTTTCAAACCTCTGCTTGGTGTGGCTGGCTTCGCTCCTTATTTTTTAGGTCTCACCTTTAATACCACGTCCTCAAAGAGATCTTCTCTGACCACCTTATCTAAAAGAGGTTGTCTCTGAGTATCTCCTGTTCCTTGCTGGCAATGATCAGAACGAGTAACTATGCATTTTGTTTTCCTTGTCTGTAAAGAGGGAGAAGGCTGGTATCTTTTTGGAATACCCAGAGCCTCACATAGAGCCTGACAAAATGTACTCAAAAATTTATTGATTGGTTACATAAATTGACGTAAGTAGATATTCGTACAGCTCTAAAACTAAGTAATTTACTCCTGAAAGAAAAATTGCTCCTAAGTCCATCTAAGAGGTGTTCAGATATCCTTTAATCGGAAGGAAAAGCAAGTATATAATCCTTATTTTCTCACAAATTATACTAAAATCATGTTCTTTGAATTAATACAGTGGGGCTTTGTGGGATTTAAATCAAGATCAATCTATTATTTTGGTCTTCGTTACAAAACCTATTTTTTTTTAAGATTTTATTTATTTGTTAGCACAAGAGGGGGGCAGGGTCAGCGGCAGAAGCAGGCTCCCTACTCAGAGAGCCTGATGTGAGGTTCAATGCGGGGACTCTGGGATCATGACCTGAGCCAAAGGCAGACGCTTAACCAACTGAGCCACCCAGGCGCCCCCACAAAACCTATTTCTTAACAACGACCCTTAAAGATGCATTTGATCTATATAATCATATTGCTTAATCAAGACAAAAAGATTTTTTTTAAGTGGTCAAAATAAAATTAGGAAAGCTTCTTTGTGTGATAGCTCAAAGGTGAATGAAATGCTAGAGTTTGACAGGTTTTTCCAGCCACTGTTGAACCGACCTCTCCATACTGTCTAGCACAATGAACCCTTCTGAGTGAGAAATCCAGCATTTCTTTTTGAGAATCTCTCTATATTTTTACCCAGATGAAAAGTCCTGTCTCAGTAGGGAGGGCTGACTGTTCTAGGCTTTTATGAAAAGTGAAATGCAAGCCATTCATGCAGTACATCTGTCTGCTGTGTCAGAGAATGGAGAAAATGGATTCCAGCTGCTTAACTTAAACCCCAGGAGGTGACTCAGGACGGATACAGTCTGTCATTCCCCTCCTCCTCCTGTTCCCTTAACCCAAGCCTTTCTCTAGGTCCTCAGGGGTAACCTGGATGATTATTCTACTTTGCTTATTTTTCAGAATAAACACCATAGGTCAAATTCTAAATGGTCATTTGAGAGCCTTGAAAGTAGCTAAAAGCAAAACTCCCTATCTGGCTTTGGGATGTCACACACACAAAAATACTGGGTTTGTCTGTTACGTTTTTCTTTCTACAGTGGGATAAGAAGCCAATGTACATCATTAGTATGTGATGTGCTTGTAATCTCAAAGCAAATGTAGAATTCTGATGCTGCAGTTAAAAGTCATCTTGTGTCATTTATATAAACAAAAATGGAATTCTGGGTTCCGGTAAACCTTTCTTAGTAAGGCTTAAAAAGGAAATGGTCAGGGACGCCTGGGTGGCTCAGTCGGTTAAGCGTCTGCCTTCGGCTCAGGTCATGATCCCAGGGTCCTGGGATCGAGTCCCGCATCGGGCTCCCTGCGC